ATTATTATAATTTATTAATAAATAAATAAAACCTGTTCCAAAAAGAATTATTTAATTAATATTGAAGAGAATTTTTTAAATTAAAAGAACAATGTTTATAGAGAAAAACCAAATATACATAGTGATTTTGTAATAACTAATCGTAAATATGAAATAAATAAATAAAATAAATAAAAAACGGTTGATGATAAAATAAAAAACTTACCGTTGCCTCCGTATGTAATTCCATTTTTAAWGAGCCCGGACCCGTAAAGCGATTGGAGAACATATTTAGCTTGGGACCTTTGTACTTTGTACTGGTATAGGAAAGAGAAAATGTATATTGAGTTCAAATATGGCCACTTTTCATTATCATTTCTAGAGAGAATCACAGCTTACTCCGCCTGCATGGAGTTGATGGCATAGCAAATGCCCAGCTCCGTTTCCATGCGCTGAAAGTAGTTGCAGCACTCGAAAGGTTTGTCGTTCCACATACAGCTGTGTATGGAGTCCACACAGCTGCTGCGCACCAACTGAGCATAGTAGGAGAAATTGGAATAGAAGCACGCAGCTGTGGAATCCTCACCGCTGCACTCGTGCACCGTGTGATACGATTCGCCGCGAAAGAACGCAATCTCACTGAGCACCTCCTCCAAGGTGAAGTCATGATCGACGCCCCATAGCCTAGAGAGCGGAGTGGACATTGACTCCTAAGCCTAAACACATATAGACAAGTTACTTACTGCTCGGCTACTTCCTGTATGCGATCCATGTTCTTTGACTCACACACAATTATGGCTGGGAAATTGGTATCCCAATCGCGATAGGAGCTCTCCACCACAAAGCTAATGGCATTGTTCTCAAAGGCAGCTGACATGGAAAGTGACATGAAGGTGAGCTATACTAACTATATCTAATCATATCCATGCTCACCCAGCGATGCCTTGATAAGTCGCCAGGAGGCATACCACGAGAGCATCAGGCAAGCGCCCCAAAATATGCGCTCCAGCCAGCTGGCATCTTTGTCCACTATGAAACGGGCTCCATGCAATGTCGAATTCTTCAAATATTCCTCAACGCTCTGTCGCAAACGCATTGCGTGGCTGTTGCCCGGAGCTCTGTTTGACTACTGACGGCTATTTGCTTATGGTCAAATCAATATAAATATATATTTCGTAATTACATTCATTTCATCTCGATAAAGCTCTATTGCAGCTGCTGAAGTTCACAGCATTTGCAGGCACGCACTTCACAGACCTCCCCCAATTAGACAACATTTATTTTGAGATTAACTTATTTATATAGCTTTCTGGTCCTTAACTCTATCATCTTTCGTATTAGTCTCTGTGTACATTGAGTCAACAGTGGCCAACACTTATCAAACATCCATGTGATAAGCACGCGCCGGTGGGGCTGGACAGGCGCCTCCATAACCCATTTGGTAATGTTTAGCCAGACGCTTCTAGCTCAACTGTTAAATTAAAAAAATTATATTCTCAGTTGGCATAAGCTGATGGAAAAATTTTAATCATATTTGTAGTTTTGTTACATTTTACATTTTACAGTTACAGTTACAGTTACATTTTATTTTATTATATTCATTTACGAAATTATATCATATATTTATTATATATATT